TTTATATTCTGATAGTAAAGTATTAAATATTTGCTTTTTTATCACCAGAACGGATAGCGTTTATGGGTTTATGATCCGCAGTGTATATAAGTAGAATTTGATACTTTCATTTGTTTTGAAGAATTATTGTGGTAATTAATTATTAGATAGGTTTAGGATGGTCTGGCTGCCGCGCCGGTAGGTTGCGTTCACTACTGCGCATCACATGGGTACAGGGTGTCTCATTTTCGTGCGTTTTTTGGGATTTGGGATATCTGGGATTTCTCGTTTATGAGTGGAGATACAATGATGCGTTTTTTCACATTACTTTGCTAGTTTTTTATATAACTAAATATTCTACCAGTAGATTTGCGCATTTTCTACACATTAACATTAATCAATCTTGTTTAGAAAGTATTATTATTTTATTTAATTTAATTTAACCAGATAATTTTGTTTTCCATCGTTATCTTAACAAACTGAACTGAAAATAAACTTTTTAGATAACAATCTGTTAAAAAAAGTATTATTAAAATTAATATTAAAATAATAAACAACAGCTGAAAAAAATATTTTGAAGAAAGACAGGCAGAAATTACCTTACTAAAGCATTAAAATGTTAATTTTTATATATTATGTTTAAATTTTTAAAATGAAATTATAAACGAGAAATCCCCAAAAAAACGCACAAAAATGCGACACCCTGTACACATGTGATGCGCAGTAGTGAACGCAACCTACCGGCGCGGTAGCCAGACCATCCTAAATCTGCCTAATAATTAATTACCACAATAATCCTCCAAAACAAATGAAAGTATCAAATTCTACTTATATACACTACGGATCATAAACCCATAAACGCCATCCGTTCTGGTGATAAAAAAGCTAATATTTAATACTTACTATCAGAATATAAACGAAAAAAAAAAAAAGTTGCACTCCCAGCCGGTATCGAACCACTGACCTTCGCTTCATAGGCGAAAGCTCTACGCGCCGAGCTAATGGAGACTTGCTCGGTTTTTATTCAATACTGAAATTTAAAGCGCTAAGTAAAAAATAGAGGATCTTCTTTGGATGCGCAGTAGTGAACGCAACGGATGTCGGCAGACAGACGGGCCGCATGCTGTTCCAGAGAGCATAATAAAAGATATATGAAAGAGCCAGACGTCTTAAAATACTTGTTTTCACGACGTTGCTAGCTCTCGTACTATTAGGGAATAGTGTAAGTGCAATAATGTATTTTAGCGGATCAGTATTGCTTCTCTTTAGTACTAGATGGACTTGCAATGAGATATCAATTCAGGTACTAGCATAACGTAGTAAAAAACCTCAGTGAAACTATACCAGCAGGGGCGGATACAGAAATTTATTTTAGGGTGGGCCCAAATAAAAAATAATGCCAAATATACCTTTTAGGGTGCCATTTTTAACCCAAAAGCCTAATATTTAACCCAATTTACAGATTTTAGGGGGGGCCCGGGCCCCATGCCCCCCCCCCTGTATCCGCCACTGTATACCAGATGATCCAGTCTTCCGAAAAAGCTCTATATCAAATTTCCTAATTGAGATTTTTGCTTTATTTTTTGAAAAAAATGCGGTAATACACAGGGTGATTGAAATATTATATACTTAGGTTTAAGTGGTATTGTTATCTTAATGAAAAGCTATCTGGAACTTATTGGCAGTGAACGTCATAAAATTTTAAGTTATTATTATAAGTACTAAAAAAGTCGAAAAATCAAGAAAAAATATATCAATTTAAGATACCAATATAAATGTATCATTATCTATAATATGTTTTAGAGTACAGCTTTAGCTAATGCCATATATGACAGCTAATGGTACGAATTTGACAGTGACGTGAAACAATTACTACAAATTTTAGTGATGAGAGCCCAACGTCCTTTGACAATAGACATTGGTCTATTTGGACCCATGACTAAGTACAGGGTGGGCCAAATGGGACACCTTTAAAGAAAAACACCCTTTTCTATAGTTTTAGTTATCTCCCGAGGGGTGTCTCACTACTGGAATTACATGTACATTTTCTTGGCAGTCGTTGGCAGTCATTGGCAGTCTTACGGCAGTCACGTATAATAATTACATGGCAGTCATAGGCAGTCTTCTTGGCTGTGATTGGCAGTCGCTTGGTAGAAAGATGATATTTTGGCAGTACATGTACATTTTTTACCCAAGTGAGACACCCCTCGTTCTCTCCTATAGGAGATAGACAAAAGATAGATTCGGAGTTACGGGGTGTTTTTCAAAAATATGTATTTTTAACAAATCGTTGGATTTTTTTGCTATGGAAAGTTTTGTATTTTGAAAAAATTCATTATTCAGTTTGAGCCAACTCATATAAAAAATTATATATTGTATATTGAAGAATGTCATCAGTTCGGTAACTATAGAAAAAAATTAAATGTTGGTATATAAACTCCTCAAAATAAGCCTACCTATGGTAATCGCAAAACAACTTCCGATGCACGTTTGAGTGACAAGCGATGGCGACAGCGCTGCAAGATTGTTATGGATTTTGAAATGAAAGTTAATTTAAAAGTGACAAACTATTAGTATAATTTTTTAAAGATTTTTACGTTTTATTTTTAATTTAATAACTAATATTTTAGTAATTAATTGATTTATATGTATATACAGGGTGGTCCGAACTGTATTCCGGAAACTTCAGCAGCATATTCTGCAGATAAAAATAAGTAAAAAAGTTTGTATAAATGTATGTCCTAAGATGCTTAGTTTCAGAGATACAGGGTGAAGAAGTTTCATTTTTATTTCGATTTTTTCTAAATAATATCTAAAGTAACGTCAATATTTCGATGAAAATTGAGGTCTGGGAGTTTTTTGACATGAGAAATTTGATTTTGATGTCAATATGACTCATACTAGTAGAGACCACCTACATGTGTTTTAATTAGAGACCACCTACATGTGTTTTAACTGTTTTGAAGCGTAATAACTTTTTGTCCGTACCTGTATAAAAACTATCGAGTGAAAAAATATACATCTCTGTGACGTTTTATGTAAAAGATATCTCTTTGTAAAAATCGCTACGAGCAACCGTTCTTAAGATATTTAGAATGGAAATAGTCAATACATGTCATTATTGACGAAAAATAAACACGTTGAGTAGATAGTTATTTCACTGAAATAATAAATTTGGAAAATTTTTATTTTTTTAAATTAATCAGAACTTTTTCTGCAAAAAATGATGAAAAAACAGTTTCTGTTGAACTTATTATTATTATTATTATGACAAACACAGCGTAGAATTAAATTTCTATATCAGCAGTTAAGTGGCAGGAATCCTTATATAATTTTATTATATATTTATACTGCAAGAAATTTGTTTTCTATTTTATAATTTGGCTCGCCTGAAAAAAAGCCTTTTACCATCCTTTTACTATCGATAATTGCGCCTCTGTGGTACGAAAGTACTACCATTGCACGCAGGCCGCTATCTCCCGTTCGGGACTTATATCTAACCGACACTTTCCGACAAATCGGAATTAACTATCTCTGCGCTGTGGTTGTCATTTTGTGGATCTGCCCAAGCTCACCTGATGATGGAGTAGGGCTCCGAAACCGGTAGTGAGAGCAGGTTGATCCACATTATGACAAACACAGCGTAGAATTAAATTTCTATATCAGCAGTTAAGTGGTAAGAATCCTTATATAATTTTATTATATTTATATATTTATAATATTGATTAAGTGTTACTATATGGGTTATTTATTTATTTATTGACGTACATCTTACAACGCCATAAATGGTAATAACAAGTAAGAGGGTGCTTTTAATGCACAAACTAATAATCACAGAATTTAATAAAAACTAACTTTGAATAAGAAATCACTTTGAAAGTGGTGTAATGTGCTTATCAATTAAAATTACTTTTCTAGCTGCAATCCAGGGTAATAAAGAACCTTTATTGTCACGTTCTCGTTCAAAATAGTTTATCAGAGCTACAAGCTGTTTGCTTCGACTATTTAAATGCTTCGGCATATTTTTAACACACAATTTCAAGAAACGCAATACAAAAACTCGAAAATTTAGTTCTTAAAAGAACTGTTTGTGCTTAAAAGTACAATTTAAAAAAAAAGACTAAGAAAATAGGCCAAAAAACGAGAATTACTCACAAAGATTCAACAACAACACGATATCATACAAAATAATGACTGACATTAGGATAATTGTCAAATAATAAACGACAACCTTGCTGAAAACGGCGCAATGTGACCAACATAGCGATAATAAATTCAGTTTAAACTAATTTTTGCAGCTTTAATCTAAATAAAATCTCTGTTACAATAATTTGCTCTATAAAGTAAAATGAAAAGCTGCTCGGTATCTTAAATTATACAACAAATTTAAACATTTTTGCCAAAATTTCATTTAGTCAGGTTCATAGACTTTAGTGTCAATGTCGATATAATTGATGACGTGCATCGGAAAATATTTTGCCATTACTGTAAATGCTGTTATTATGTTGTTATTTACTTGAACGCATAGAATTGTATAATTTAATATATATTATTTTTATTTAGGTTTCGAAAGCAACTTATTCTTACATTACCATTATGAAGCGTTGAAGAAATTAAAACACGAGACTATTATTTGCTTCACAGATTGGTATACTAATCAAACTATACAGCACTATTTGAAATTAGCATCAAGAAACCAAGACAAGCAACTACATTTTTCCTAATAAAAAATAAAGCATAATATGAACTTTAAAAAACACGTTGTTTTATTATTTAATAGGTTTGGTTTGGTTAAAAAAAACGAGATTTGTTATGTTAGTACATGGCACAAATTAGAATTGATTAAAAAGTTCTTAATCTTTTTTAAAATGCAAATAATATTGCTATTTTTAGATAATTTTCTTAAAATTAATTCAGAAACAAAGAATTGTCAAAGAATATTATAGCATTTCTTGAAAATCAGACAAAAATTATTTACTAAATCTACATTTTATTCAATAAATAACATTATAAAAAAATATAAATAAATAAATATGGCAAAAACATCTCCAATTCTGTCCATTCCATAACCATTTTTATCCCCAAAACCCACTCATCTTTGGCACAAAAATAATCTTTTACGCGTTAAAAAACATTTTCGAAAAAAAAATCAGTCTCATTCGCAGCAGAAAGACCGCTCAATGGCATATATATCTGTCTATCTAGGATCCATCAGCACCCCAATCATACGGCCGTCTTGTTCAAGCTGAGGCACGAAAAAGACCTCAGCTTCTGGATCGGTCGGGGCACCATTTTCTGCCATAATCTCGTTGACGTAAGTGTCCCTGCTAAGATCAATAGGACGTTGAACAGACTCTTTCTCGGGCTGATTGATATCGTTGGATTCAATAGTCTCAATAGGTTCTACGACGTTCCATTCGTTATCAGCATCTACATATCCAGGTTGAGTTTTCTGGTTTTCGTCGGCAAAAAAATCATCTTGAACGGGCGAAATTCTCATGCTTGAGTCGATTTCGTCGAATGTCTCGATGTTGTCAAAATTCTCTTCCGATACTTGTCTCTTGGTGGTTTGGATTGGCTCGGCCTGATGATGAAAAAAGAGTGCGTGGATGTGAGTGAAAGGGTGCGACACAAATATAAAAAGAGGAAAAAGAATTGAGGTGCACGGAATTTGTGAAATATGTATACTATTCTTAAAGAGAGTTGATGGAGTATATTAAATAAAATTCAATGATTAAAAATGAGATTAATATTAGTTTTTTTCCATACAGTGGACTTGTTCAATCCCAAAAACGAAAATATATTTTATATAGTTATTTTTTGTATTAGTTGAAAAATCAAAAGACGTTTCTATGGTTGCAGATTGTTGATAAATTGTGACTGATAGCATTTTAATTATTAATGTCATAGTTTTTTCTGTTTAAAATGTTAAAGAAGCACAATTTTTTTTCAAACGTCACAAAAGTATTATTTTTTGCAATGTAATTGACACTATAAAAAAGGTCCGATTAAATGTATATCTCCGAAACTAAAGTTTCAAAAAAAGTCATACTATATCTACAAATTCATTTACCCACTAGTAGATATAAAAAACATTTTTAGTAAACTCAGTCTCAAATAGTTTCTGAAAAATAAAATTAATTTTTTTAAAAGGTCCGATTAAATTTATATCTCTGAAACTATAGTTTCAAAAAAAGTCCTACTATATCTACAAATTCATTTACCCACTAGTAGATATAATTTTTTTTATGGTAAAGCACTTTTACGCCTAAGCATAAAATACGAAAATATATTATTAAACTGACATAAAGTATCAAATTCAACGAGCGTTGCCATAGTTTCTCAATATACCGTATGATCGAGAAAAAACGGCGTTCAGTTGGCTGGGAAATAAAGATCGCTGTCATTTTATATGTAAATTTATATGGGAAATGTCATCGATCGTCATTTCCCAGCCAACTGGACGCCATTTTTTTCGATCATACGGTATACTTACATAGAAGGAATGATTTTTAAATCTTTTTATATTATTTGGAACGTTTGAAATTGTTTAAGAACTTATTAGTGGCGTTTGAAAAAAATAGCAGGTTCTATTCGGAGTAAAAATGACTTTTTGTGCCTCGGCTGTATATCAAACGCCACAAAAAGTGTCATTTTTACTCCTAATAAAACAATACTATAGGTTCGTTCCAACCCGACCGAGAACCGATCCTGGGACGGTAATTTCTAGTCGCCCACTTATTGTTTGAAAAGTTTGATCGTTTGTCAAGATTAACAAATGAATTGATTGATAGGAAATTACCGTTCTAGGACGGTTCTCTCGTCCGGTTGGAACACACATACTAATTCAATGCAACGGAAAGGGTGATAATAATTATCGGAAAATATGACACTTAACAACAGCAAAAAATTTGACGTTAATCAAAATTCATATAACTGTCTATCAAATAAAGAATGAAATAGAAATTATATTACCACAGAAACACCAAAGTATTTACCAAAAGAAACACATTTAGTGAAAATTTTTAGATTAAAAAAATATATAAAAGGAGGCAACGCTATAGTAACTACACATGATACAAAGAAAACAAGGTATGATCGATACGCTGATAAAAAAGATAGACTTGAACTAAAGTCGTCATTGTTCTTGAAAAAAAGAATTAGTGGCAAGAGAATTTATTTTAGCGTAAAAGAAAATATGTTCCCTGAAGAAAAACTCTCTTAATTGTTCCCTTGAAAAATTCGAAAATTTCTCTTGAATCCATTTTCATTTAACCAAGTGCAAGTTACTTTGTTTTAAGATAATAACAAAAATACGCTAGGAAGTACTTCATTCAAGAAACATGGCCATTTTTCCAATAGCTAAATACTCTTTTGATGAAAAATAATAACGACACGCAAAGACGATGACGAAGGATGGTATATACAATCAGTCGGCAGTCCGATCAGTCTCACGTCGCATTTGCTAGGTTGCATCATGTTACGTACGGGTTTTGTTGCTTGGAATTTTCCACTTGGAATTTCGCATAATTTGCTTTTTAAACGCATATTATATAACAAATTAGTGATCGTTATTAACATGTATTTGTCATTTTTTATGGACAAATTTTAGGATATATGGATTCTTTAAAGGAGTTTCTGAAAAAATGGAAATTAGAGCATTTATTTGCTTTATTTGAAGGTAAGAGACATTTACATAATGCACCTGTTTAGATAATGCATGCCTGACTATAGATAGAATAAGAATAATAAAATTATATAAGGATTCTTGCCACTTAACTGCTGATATAGAAATTTAATTCTACGCTGTGTTGGTCATAATGTGGATCAACCTGCTCTCACTACCGGTTTCGGAGCCCTACTCCATCATCAGGTGAGCTTGGGCAGATCCACAAAAAGACAACAACAGCGCAGAGATAGTTAATTCCGACTTGTCGGAAAGTGTCGGTTAGATATTAAGTCCCGAACGGGAGATAGCGGCCTGCGTGCAATAATAATATATAAGAATAAGAATATAGGTATAGATTTTTTTATGCAAATAATTACAAAAATTTTAGAATTTCAAGTCGTCGTATTAAAAAATTCAAAATGTGATCAAAGCTTATAATTTTAATAATTTGTTTGCTTTACTTTGATTAATCGTGATGTAACATTTTTTTGTAATTTGTAGAGTGATGAACCACCCCAAAAAATACCAAGGAGTGAAGAAGCAGAAATAACTACCTACTATCGAGGAAAATAATATCACTTTACTGACTACAGACTAGGAAAACCTAAATTTATCAGAAAATAATATACCTCGTAATATGCCTGTATGCCTGTATATGATGTATAGACTTCTCTTAGATCAAAATAAATTTTAGTTGAGTCAATGGTATTCGCTATTGGTTTAAGAAAAGTGTCTCTTTAATCAAGAAATGTCCCTTTTCAATCAAGAATTTTTGCATAAATCAAAGAGACTATTGTTCTTGTAGCAAGAACTTCTGTGCATATTAATTTTGGGTCAAGAGTGAAATACTTTGGACAGAGAGATTCTTCTATTCTCTAAAGTAATTTTTTAAAGCTTATGAAAAGATAGTTAATGCTTTGGGCAAAGAAACGTCGTTCTTGGCCCTATTGAAAAGCGCCAATCTTTTGGGTCAAAGTCATATTCATTTCGACTGAGAGATCCTTTTTTTCAGTGTAGCGACTCCAATTTCGCTAAGTTTGCGCATACCACCTGTGACGTCATACGCCATACAAAAAAATATCTATATTGTTCAATTGCCACTAATAAAAAAAAGACAAGAAAAAAGAAATGCCCCTAAAATAGGGAAGAATTAGGACATAACCCCAAAAGTTATGTCAAATCATCTAGCTTGACATTTGAAAAATTATTTTCACATTTATTGTGTCATCCGTTTGACAATTTGAAATTGGTGCGCGGAGCTTGCCGACCAATGGTGCCGTTTATCACCTGTGACGTAGTGACCAACCTGCGCAATATCATACCTTGTATTCTTTGTATGGTAACTACACTAGGTATAGGAACTAGCACCTACCGAAGAAAGAAATGAATGAATTGAACAAGTACACTTCTTATAAATTACGTTTTAACCTAAATTTTATTAAATAATGTCAATAAATTTACGAGGATTACAGGCTCGTAAGGTCTTAACTCGTACAAGTCTTAAATAAGTACAAATATTTTCAGAACTGGTAGATCACGATAAAAGAAACATATTTTCTCCGTTTTTCAAAATAAGCCTAAAATAACCGAGTTATTTTACTTGTAAATTTCGAAAAAAAAGATTCTTTGCTTAAATTTTGAGAACCACAACATAACATATTACACGCCATATTTTTAACTAAAAACTGAAAAAAATCCAAACTTTCAAAAATTTTTTTCGCGAAAAAAACCTCATAGTAGTGTTTCCTGAGATCCAAATAAACCACCTCTTAAAAATATTTTCACTTATTTAAGGCTCACCCTGTATAGCGGGTTCATTTCTTAAAAGAAATCTCGGATCTTCCACTACTGAAACAGAAATCTAAAAAATAAAAAAATTGTAAAATGCCAATGCGTAGAATACAAACAGAAGCCAGCTTAATTGTCAGTGGATTTATTTTTGTAAAGAAATTTGCAGAAACAATAAAAATGCTTAATACCATATAAAGATTAGACAAATTTCTTTAGTAAAAAGCCACTGGCAATTTGGTTTCTCTTTGGAATCTACCCAGTGGTATTAAAAAATGGCATGCGCATTACATTTTTTTTAATTTCTGTGTCTGTGTCGAAATACCCTTGATTCTTTCACTAGATTGTGTTATTTTAATCTCATTTTTGAATATCTGCAAAAAATACCTAGTTATTACAAATATTAATTAGTGTTTCTCTATTTATCTACTTTTTGTTTAAGTTGTTAGTTCGTTAAAATCATGAAATTATTAGTAATACAAAATTGTTAATGAAGCTTCACATGCGGGTTCTTGATAAAATTAAATTAATAAAGGTAAGTATGGGTATATTTATACATATCTTTATTCTAAAGATATTAAATATACATCTGTTTATTTACTAAAAACAGTATATTGATATTTGATAAAAAAATATCTTCTACGATATCGGTTAAGCACTTTGTACAAGTTATGATAGCCTTATTATAATAATATGACAACTACTTTGTAAATGTATTGGTTACGTATACGCTATTGCATTAAAAATATATTAATTATCCAAAAAACTATTGTTTAAAATATTGTCAGTTTTGTATAAGCGAATATATCGTCTCTCGCCAACTATATCGTTTATTATTAAAATTTTAAGCAGCAAACGGGCAAACTCAAGCATAGTTTCGAATCTTTTCGGGGCCGTCTTCAGACCTACCAACCTCTTTAGATTTGGAGATTTCGTTTTCGAAGCTGTTGTCGACTTGTTCTCTTGGTTTGATGGTGGTGGGTACTTCTTCGGCGTTGCTGTCGGTGGTGATTTCGCTGCTGTCTGGTGCCACGTCTACGATGCGTACCTTGAAGAAGGTGCCTCCGTTCTCGTCTTGGTTCTTGTACTCTGTCTCGTTGATGACCACTTTGTGACCGTTGATTACCTTGGAAGAAAACATATTGCAGTAAGCAATATTTATATTTTTTGATAATTGTTTTGACTACGCCTATGGTGTATCATCCTAATTAATTACGAAAAAAACGTATTAAAATGTTAACAAAAGGTACAAAACTAGTATCGACGTATAGCACATATCAAGTACATATAGATGTTAATTGAAATTGAAGAATAATTATCGAATTCAATAAGAAAACGCTAAAAAGTTGGAGTGGACTGTTTATTTACCTATGAAACGTAACTCCTGGCTCTTTCTTATCGCTGCTGCTTTTACACTTGAAAGCTGAACAACTAATCACCATTGTAATAAAGTTTATACAAAGTTTACTACACACAAACTATTAAAAATCGCTAAAATTGTCGCTGGTGACCAAATGATGACTCATTGTTTGCCACCAAAACAAAAAACAAAAGGTCACAAATTCTGCTGCAGCCCGTATAGGGGCGTTACATGTCCTTATGTTCTTTAGTCATTGGTATAAACTCTATTACAATGGTGATTAGTTCAACTTTCAAATGTAAAAGCCGCAGCGATAAGAAAGAGCCAGGAGTTACGTTTCATATTCATAGGTAAATAAACAGTCACCACCTTTTTAGCGTTTTCTTAGTTTTCTCATATTATATGTACTTGATGTGTGATATACGTCGATTCTAGTTTTGTACCTTTTGTTAACATTTTAATACGTTTTTTTTTTTCGTAATTAATTAGTATGATACCACCGTATACACCACAGGCGCAGTCAAAACATTTATGAAAAAATATAAATATCTTTTCAACTTCTTTCAACAGCTAAGTTAAGAAAAATATGTGCCCCGGCACTGTTTGGTGACATGGTAACAATTTGTTCTCGGGTGTTATTTGTCCTTGGATTCTTTAGTCATTGATTGAAACTGAAAGAATTTCGGACTTCCATTATCTTTATTTTTATCTTTATTTTTTCTTTTTTTTATTATATTTTCATTTGTATTTTGGATATTATTGTACATTATTATAAATATCGAGAGGTGGTTGGGTTTGTAATGTATGTATTTATTTTTTTTTGTATTTCTATATTAGGTATTTACTTTGCTGTATATTTTGTTATTTCTGGGTGGAGTGGAAGAGTGGCTTTATGCCAAATCTCTTACCCTTTGTGTACAATTATGTATTGTAATGCATTTTTACACAATAAATCGTCCTTATTTATTTTATTTATTTATTTACTTATACAGGAAATTTTGGGCGCAGGTGTACGTTATTTTAGAGCATTTTTTAAAAATATAGAGTTTTATAGGGTGTCCCCAAAAAAAGTTGAGTATCAAAGTTTGATTTTTTGTTATGGAACACCCTATATATTAATTGATTTTCGAATTCTAGAAAAAAAATAAAAGTGAGTTTCATTAAAGAAAAAGAAACATATCCCTAAATTGTAAGGTTTTTGACATATTTCACATTTTGTGAAAATGAAGAATAAATTTTAAATTTCAATAACAGTTACCTAAATTGTAACTTATCTTGAATAGCCTGATATTTAGTAAAAATAACCATTGTTAACGAACGAAAGTGTTACCGAACAGTTATACAGGGTGAGATTCAAAATTAATATTGAAAAATGGTCACTTTTAAAAGCAAGCCCTTCCTTTATTTTAAATGGAACACCCAGTATATTATTCCGATATTCAATGGGAATTCATGTCTCTCCAAAATGCTATAAAGGTTGCCGACACCTTAAACAAAGATTTTCATAGATATTTTCATTTTTATACTATTTAGGGCCAGTAGATCTTTATTATTTGATAAAATCTAGGTGGCTGTGAATACCTGACGTTACTTCAACATAGCTATCAAATTAGTTCACCTTTAACAACTAGTTATCAATTTGCATCAGCCTTGTATCAGTTAAAATTAAAAAAAAATGAGAACTGATATAATTCTATTAATTGGAGACTGCAGACTGCAGTATGCATTCACCAATTAATAGAATACTTAAATGCTCCTGATTTATCTAGTTTGGACTTATTTTTTTGAGATACATGAGAGAAATGGTTGTCGCTGCTTTTCGAAGTAGAACTCCAGATAAGCCTTTTAACATAAAAAGATCTTTTTTTTTGTCATATAAAAGTAAGTACTATACAACCTTCTGTACTTAATAACACAAAACTATTGATGTCGTGGACTCTGTGAAATTCTTAGGACTTGATGTAGACAACTCGTTAAAATTGGACTTGCACATCGAAGCTTTATCAAAGAAACTAAGCGCTGCCTGTTTTGCGCTAAGATCAGTTTCTAAGGAACTTAACTCATCAACCTCTAGAATGGTCTATTATGCCCTTTTTGAGTCGCATCTTCGTTATGCCCTTCCATTCTGAGGTACTTGCTGCGCGACAAAATTTGATCGTATTTTCAAACTTTAAAAGAGAGCAGTTCGGTACTTATTGGGACTGAACAGTAGAACTCACTGCCGGAATTTCTTTAAAAATTACAAAATACTGATTCTTCCTTCCTTATTCATTTTTGAATCCATTTGCTTAATCCGCAAGCACATATCTGCTATTCCGGAAAGGCCTTCTCACAACTATCCACTTAGGAATGCGGAGCACGATATATTTATCTGCCAACCCCGAGCTCAGAACTAGTTAAGGGCTCAATATTGTACAATGCCAAGAAAATGTACAATCTTTGTGTACAGCCTTTGAATATCAAGTCACTTTCATTCTTTCCCGCATTTCGCAAAGCTCTGAAATCATACTTACTGGAGAGCCCTATATGCGGTAAACGACTTTTTTGTTGATGTTTAATCATGAACAATTTTGAATTTTAAAATTTTGATCATCTCACACACTGGTTAAAGGTCTAGTGTTTAACATTTAATATTTTATAACTGTTGATTTTATGAAATACATATAACATGATTTTATCCATTTACAGTTGGTTCCTTTTGTAAAATTTTCTTAATACACCTGTGTTCTACAATGTCCATATATGTTTTATTTGTAATTTTAATGACGTACATTTTTTTGAATTGATTTGTATTGTATGGCATTTTTTATTATTTGTATATTTGTTTTTATGCTTTTTTGTTTTGTAAATGCCTTGTCGATGAAGCTATTTTGGCTTTTTGTACAATAAAGCGTTGTTTTATTTTATTTTTTATTTAAAAAGATTTTTCAAAAGATCTTTTTTCTATTAAGAGGCATTTACTTTAAACTTGTATGACTTCCCTGAAGCTTATACAAGTTTAGAAGTATGCACTGTATATTATTATTGTTTGATAGGCAGCTCAAGATATGCAATAATATTATTATTTTATTAATTATCATTTACTTAGAACTTTTTTCTGAATATGATAAATAATTAAAACCTATCAATTTCAATTTAGTCTTGAGAATACCCACGTTGAATAACATTTATAAATCTATAAATTGTAATATATGACCTTGTCCATACAGATTACTCATCCTATAGAGAGAGAAAAATTTTGTCAGTGGAATTAACACTTTAAAAATTAAAATGTATATTTTTATAGTGATATAGTAATAAACAAGAAGAGAGATTAAAGACACTAAGAGAAATTCCCTATTTTGGACATTATACAGTGTGTCCCAGAAATAAGTGCAAGTATTTTAAGGAGTGGTGGATCTCGATAAAAGAAACATATTTTCTTTTTATCGTTTTCAAATAAGTCCAAAATAACGGAGTTATTTTACTTTGAAAATTCCCCCCAAAAAAAATGATTTTTTGCTCAAATTTTGAGAACCACTGGATCTTTTCTGGATTTTCGTTCTTGTAAATTTAATCTACTACTAGTTGTTGCCATACTATCAACAAATTATCTTTTTTAACTAAAAACTAAAAAAAATTCCAAAAAAATGTTCAATTTTCATTTTCTTTCGCGAAAAAACCTCATAGTGTAGTGTATAACTATTATTACACCCTGTACATAATAGTTTAGATATAAGTATTTCTTTAGTTAAGTTAATTAAGGCCAGTTATATTATATGTTTAGAATTAGGTGTTTATTATATAATATTAGGAATGCAACTATGCATTATTGGATGTCGCGCGATATGCTAATTAGGGTTAACCGAATTCAATTACTATTAAGATTTACACAAGAACATATTGTAATAGTAATTTGAAATAAAGTTGTTTTTTATATAGTCTTAGAGTTTCCTTCAGAGCATGTAATTGCGAACCCAAATAAGAACATTACATGGCGACTCTGCCATTGCATGCTTTGGGGATATTTTAGGAAGACTTTGGTATAAAAGAACAATGTAATTGCGAACCCAAATAAGAACATTACAATAGGCGTGTTTCTGGAGTTGTGATGAACTAATACTACCAGTTAAAATACTTGCACTTGTTTTTGGGACACCTTGTATAAACTTCAGTTAAAAATAATGCAATAATTGTCATTGATGGATACTGAGACGTAAGATACTTAATTTGTTACCTTGGTGACGGAAGTTGTATTTCCTTTGGATAAGTCAAGATCGCCAGCACCAGGAAATGATCCGGGAAGAGCGGGAAATGAGGGAAACTCAGACGAATTGCTGCCTTTGCTGAAGGGAAATCGTTCCAGGAGCGATTTTATTTGCTTGTTCATTCGATCCAGAATGTCTAAAATTAAATCAGTTAAAATTATTCAGTACCAAAATGTTCACTAAGTTTAATCAACTACTGTTTTTTTAACACTTTATCTTTGGTAGAGTATAATCTATTATAAATAGAAAAATTAGAAAATATTTGATTTTCTTTTACCGAAAATATATTTCTTAAATGCATCCATTCTTTTGCAACTAAATAAACAAATGCGACTGAGATTTCCTTGGATTTCTAATATATATAAAAAACGACTCGCCCACATAAACACAAAAGTTTAGCCCACTATTCCCTTAATTGTTTAATAAAAAATAATGAATAATTATTAAAGTATGATGTAATAATCAGAATTAATAAAGACTTTTTAATAAGACGCATTAATAAACAATACTTTTTTCTTAAACCCCCTAAGTATTTTTCTGTACAGTAACGCAGCCTTAAAGTTTATTGTGCTTGATATACTATCCTAAAATTTGGAATTTTAATAACATACATGACATACAAGATTGCACATTTTTTAGTATAAATGTGGATTTTAAAAAAAATCCTTTTTGATTTGAATGACATTTTGAGAGTAAAAGTTACTATAACTGCAACATATTTTAATGCTAAAAACGTATCGACAAATATATCAGGGACGTGCATATGGGTTTGGTTTATATGTTTTACCTAATTTATTATTAAATATTATTACTATTAGTCCAATCTACACCAATTTCAAATAAAAATAATAGTATTTAAGATAATTACAAAAAAACTAATTTTATAAAGTTTTAACATCCTGTAACTCTAAATCTATGCGTTTCCATATCCGTGTTTATAGGAACTTTTTTCATATTTTTTGATGAGGAATCAATGAGTACGTAACTTTTATGTTAATGATATTAATTTTTATAAATTTAGCTATTAGACTTGGATCACGGCAAATTAATAAAATTGCGTTTATCTCGTCAAGGAGGCCGAAATCGACAAAATATCAAGAGACAACTTTTAAAAAATAGGCATTAAACTGCTTACACTATTTCGTTAACAAGAGAAAAAAAGTCAGTAGCGTACATGCTTTTTTTAGAAAAATATTCCAGTAATAACCAATAAGCACGTCCATGATAAATATGTCGACATTTATAGTAACTTTTACCTTCAAAATTTTATTCGAAACGGCTAAAAATACTTGGAAGAAAATTATAATAAATCGAAAAACCAATAAGACTTTAACACCCTGTAGCTAGGAAACAAAGCAGAATCGGACTTATGTTGATATGAAAAATAAATCTTATTTTTACGTGAGGAATCTCCTCACGAGAAATGGCACATGTTTTTTGAAACACCCTGTTATAGGGCACGAACACAATTCCACACTAGTTGGCTAATAAAATCCCAATTACGATTTAGCTGTGGTACAATTTAACTGGTTTTAAACCACGTAAAGTAAAAAAAAATATATTCTAATAGTCAAATAAAGTAAAAAAAAAAATACTGACGGTGTCATTTAAAAATCAAAAGTTGCAGTTATTTCCGATGAAACAGGAAGTGACCGAAATCAATTGAATACGTCAATCAATACTGATTTATGTCATACACTAAAGTATTAAATCTCGTATTTTTATCTGAAAAAATAGAAATGTTATGGAGATGAGCCACTTTTGAGGAACACCCGATATCCTGTTGCGGAATAGTTAACGATAGGTATATCTTGTACAGAGTAGTTAACGATACCTAGTTTACAGGGGCGGATACAGGAATGTATTTTATTATTTATTAAAGTAGAATATATGCTAGGGAGCCATTTTTAATCAAAAACCTTTTATTTAACCCGAGTTATAGCGTTTAGGGGGGACCCTGGCCTCATGGACCTCCCCTCTGTATCCGCCACTCCCAGTTTGGTATTACTAGTAAAACTTACCGTCAAAATTCTCTAGGAAACCACCAAAGGAACTGCCCGAAAATGGAACGCCCCAGCCATCATATTTAGTGTCAATGATTGGTTGGTCTCCAGTAGTCTTAACCGGTCTAACATATTCCACTTGATCTTTAACAGCTAAAAAAAACAGATGTACTAGTATTAGTGTTAGTTAAATGTTTTTATTGTGTGTTTGAATTAAGTACCCACCGGAATCTTTAAAATTATCATACATAGTAATGGTGAAATGAAATCATTATTATTTATCTTGAAAGTTGAAAAAACTAATTTAGATATCATAATTTTAATTAAATATGGATAAAATATTAATTAAACCAGGTAACATAAAATGTCAAAGGCTTCCAAATCAAAAAAACCAACACATATCCAATAACAATAACAATTGAGCGGCTTATTAGAGATTGCATTATTTGTACAGTTCGCAGAGACATTATCTATTCAATCTGCGTTATTATTAAAAATGGTCATCATATCGGCCTTCATCAGTCATGATGGGACTGTCTATTATTCTTTTAATGACGGCTTACTGTACAACTATGGACCGTTTCCAATAAATCCGCTCGTTATCCACATGTTAATTAGCGGAAAAAATCGCAATAAAAATAAATTGATGGCCGTGAACTTCGTCCGAGGCAAATTGTGGTCTATTTTTTCACGAAAACGTTTGTTTTTCAATCCATTTTCACGGATAGAATGTGGGTATGGGTCAGAACTGCAACAAGTAGGGTTGACACCTGTCGTTTTTTGAAACGGACAGTTCTTTTTTGGAACAAATTGTCCTATTGCCTTTTTTTAACATAAGAAGTCATTTTTATTTACGTATCCCCCCTGAGAAAATTATCTATAGCAACCAGAGCAATATTACTTTCGTCCAAATTTAGTTATACATGTTATAAAACCTATAAATAAATGCTTTTTTAAACGTCATAAAAGTATTAATTTTTGTAACCTGATTGCAATATAAAAAGTCATTTTAACGCCTAGGTATAAAAGTAAAGCACTTTTAGCCTCTGCTTAAGCACAAAAGTACGAAAATATGTATTGACATAAAGTGTCAAATTTAACGAGTGCAACCATAATTTCTCGATATATAATTACTTACAGGGTATTACTTTTAAAACTTTTTATAATATTTGCAACGTTTGAAATTGTTTAAAAAATATTTGTAACGTTTTACAAATATTTTTTAAACGAAATACGAAAAAATACAACATTTTAAACTTGTCCAAACATTTTTCCGTTGCGTTTTTTCGCATCTGTGTGTACATATTAAAAATCAGAACGTCACAGTTAAATGAAAAGAAAAAAATAGCATATTCTATTCGAAGCAAAAGCTACTTTTTGCTCTTGTGCACTAAAAAATAAAAAAATACAACATTTTAAACCTGTCCAAACATTTTTCCGTTGCGTTTTTTCGCATCTGTGTGTACCTATTAAAACTCAGAACGTCACAGTTAAATGAAGAGGGCTCTATATCTATCAAAAGAACCAAATCAAATGAACTAAATACATCTTATTTCTTTTGCTTTTGTTAACGAACGAAGATATATTTCTGAAACGTTAATGTCTTTTTTATTTGGGTATTAGGCAAATTTGTTTATAAGTAAAAACCTAAACTAATTGTGCAAATAATTAAACAATGTAGATGCTTTCTAGGCCATATACCTTGTTTATTTATAAAGGGGTCAAATTCATTGGTATTAATTTCGAAATACCATTGATAGAAAAATATCATTCTGAGTAATCAGTTTGATATGGTCAAATTACTAACAATCGGGCGTCAAAATAATAATAATAATAATAAATTAACTAAACATCTTACAGTTTACAAAAATTCTGCATAATTATGCAGGGTTACTAAATGGCTGCTTGGGTTACTTATCACCAAGAGCAACAAATCATAAATAAATTGAAAGGCTTTTTAATAAACTAATTTGTAACGTTATTTTTTCAAAAAGGCTGCTGTAATAATGTGCTCTCTTCAGTATAAATAATAAGGCAATTTAAAAATATCATGTTATTATGCTATATTGCAAGTCATTTATGTGTTAATAAAAAAAAACACGCGGAGAGGGATTATAATTTCGTAGAAAAATTAATAATAAATGTCTATTGCAGAAAAACTAATGTCGGGGTATGTACTTCATTTGTGCATATTTCTGAGAAGCTTAAAAATATTAATAGTGGTTTTATGTGAAAGTAACTGGCTTAAGTACTCACTTTTTTCAGTTAGTCTTTATTGTATTAAGGAGGAACTATCGGCAACAAGAAATAGCCTTCTTATCCGATAGTCAAGCAGCATTGAAAGCGATCAACTCGGTAACTATCAATTCCAAGTTGGTCAAAGAATGTCTAGAGAAGCTGAACAAATTAGGTAAAGAAAATAAAGTCCTCCTACTCTGGGTGCCCGCTCACTAATGGATACAAAGCAGTGAAAACAGAACCGTTCTCTTTTCCAAGTGGAAACCAGCTGAAGGCGGAACTGAAGAACCTGGAGGAGTTCATCCGTAACCTGGGATGAGAATCCTTCAACGGTCAAAGACACTCGAAAAAGTTCCTCAGAACTTACGACCGAAAGATTTTCCTTGATTTAAGCAAGAACAATCTTCGGATTGTCACGGGATTTCTAACATGACACTGGTCGCGTTCATCAGGACAAGTTGATCAGTGAGCGATGTGCCATCGATTGGTTGTCCTGCTGAACGGGCTTTTTCGCATCCCTTAGACAAGGAACTCTCTTTCCTTGTTCCATTCCCTGACACCTCAAAAATTTGATTATCAAAATCATAAGTAATGCATATTAAATTGTTTTCACCCATTTTTGGCACAAATCGAGGGGATTAGTCAACCGAGAACAATAAACAAAATGGTTTGTTTTCGTTTTCCAAAGCATTTTGTGACATTTGGCGTATGTGACGTTTAATCCATCATGCATCGGTAGCGTAGCGTATTTTAAATCTGATGGAAAAAATGGCGACTGATCCCAGAGCGCTCACAACTAATCGGCGCGTTCAGCCGAAAATTAGTGATCGCTGCAGTAGCGCTACGTTCTGATGAACGCGACCACTGTCTCCTCAACGAACACCTCAGTAGATTGAGGCTGAGAAACAACGGCGAATGCGGATTCTGTAGAAAAAATGGGGAAAAGCCAGAATACATTATCACTGAAGGTGCATCTACATCATCCTAGAAAAACTGGAACGGCGTATCGGCGTAACGACCTTGAATCGATTTCCAGCAATTCTATTGGCTGAAATTTTTCGAAACTTAATTCAATAAAATTCCTGGAAATCGATACAAGGTCGATACGCCGATCCGCTTTTTCTAGGATGGTATGGATGCACCCTGAGTGCGCCGAGACGACAATTGTTCGTGCCATAAACTAAATTTTGGTACGGCTGATACATTTATATGTACAGGGTGGGTCAAATTCGACGCATTAACCAACATCAACACATTTAAACTATATCTAATAACAATAAAAATAAATAGCAAACCAAGACATGAGATTTTGCTACAGGTGTTCGACATATCGACCGTCTTCTGTTATGAACAGACGGGGCAGTTTTTGAAAATTTCTCGCGGAATTCATTAACTCAGTGGGGGTGAAAGATACCCTCTTATAACTGCTAAGTATTTTTAATTCTTGTCTAGATTATACGGAAGAATAGGGAACATTTATTCTTCCGCAAATATATCCATAGGATTAGATCCATGGGCACTAAGTCAGGCGGCCTGGAAGTTAGCTATCCAATTATTCTTGAAATTGGCTGCAAAAATTTGATGATAACTTCAGCGTTCAGAGGCGGTGCGTCGTTTTGCTGGAAAAATATGTTTTCGAATTCCATTAAGGGCATATCATCAATAAGGGGTCCAAAGCCTACTAGTTAAAAGTGGCGAACTTATAAAAATTCTGTATTTCGAAGGGAATTATAACAAAATATCAAGTGTGCTATATTTTTGGAAAGGTAATTTTAAATTCTTTTCAGTTAATTAAAAATATAGAGGGTGTCCCAAATAAAAAATCATTTTTCTGTTCATAACTCTTAAATTATTAAATTTAAAAAAATTATACTTAAACCATTAAATTCTACGTAAAATGGTGCTTTGGAAATGTTTTCATAGAAATACAAAATTTTCCATAGCAAAAAAGTTACAGTGATTTGTTAAAAATGCACATTTTTGAAAAACACCCCGTAACTCCGAAACGGTAACAGATATTGATGTGCGGTTTTCACCATCATGTTTTTGATGAAAATTGAGCTCCAGACACCGATATTAGTTTTCGTCTATCTCCTAGAGAAAAGGGTGTTTCCATTTAAAAGCGTCGAATTTGACCCACCCTGTACAGGGTGGCGCACCTCATTCGCCTGGGTTGATTATATGAAAACGGAGAGATGTAAAAACATAATATTTTATGGGTATATGTGGGAAGACAATGTGCATAATTTAAAATTATTTTCCAATGTACAGAGTGTGTCAGAACTAAGATCCATACCAAAGTGTTATATTTTTTCTTATAGAACAACCGGTATTTTATTTCATTTTTGCATGCTATAATAAAAAAGCATGCTATAATAAAAAAGTTTGTCAACACCTTCTACATTTCTTTTCAGAATTAATTCTTGTGCTGACTTTCAAGCCAGAGAAATAAAGTTTACTAGAAAAATTATTCCTTCGTTAAATGTATACAGGGGTATCAAAAATTGCTGGTCTATTTTAAGTATTTATTTTACATAAAAACTTCGTTATTTCAAATACAACACTATGTATTTTTTTAAATAAGTCAAAGCAGATTTAAATGCTCTTTCAAACTATATTAGGGTTTCCTATACCTATCTGGCCCAGATTTTGAATAAAAAGCGATTTTTCAATAAAATTGTAATCAAGATGGCTGGTGTTGCCATGGCAATTTTCTAGTCATACTTAATAGCTATTTTCAAAATCGACATTAGTTTATGCACTTTATTTAAATTTATAACAGGTTATGTTTATTTAATTTACCTACAGAAGTATGTATCAAGAAAAATGAAGCAGTATCTGCTGGCGGAAGGAGTGGATATGTTACTAGTGATTTTATTTTGTAAGGACAATTAATTGCTTGTTGGCCTGAAGGG